TCAGAAAGTTTAAACTAATTATTTTTCAAAATTTGAAACTCCCAATGCTATAGTTCGGGGTTGTCAGGGTAATCTAAAGAGTTGCAAATCTTGCCACATGCGACTGCTAAACGCGACTGCTCAAATGCTTTTAGTTTCCGAGATGTGACGTTTTTGATTTATTCAAAATTTCTCAAAGAACTTATCCACAAAGAAATTCAAAAAATTTGAAACTAACTTGATGAAGATACAACCTTATTGTCACCCAGGCTTTTCAAATCTTGCCTCTTAATATGAATGCTCAAATCCTTTTAGTTTCCGAGATAAGACGTTTTTTTTTCAATTTTTTTGGGGACACTTAGCTTTAAAAAAAATTTAGCTTTAGGAATCCAGAGACTCTCAGTGGTTGCAAATCTGGCCTCCAAATTTCTCCAGAGGCCCATTAAATTTTCGAGATGACGCTTTTAAAATGGGAATAAAAAATTAAAAAGTTCGAAATGACCAACCCTGGAATTGGGTGCAGTCAGAGTACACTAAAAGTTTGCAGATGTTGTTTCCAATATATGCGGTTTTTCATGAGTTGTGAAAAAATTTCGAAGCACCGAAGGTGCGTTAAACGCTAGTCCGATTTATTAATGCTTGCTAATCGCAAGCATAAAACCTGTCCAGTTGTTTCACACCCAGACATAAAAAAAATTTGCCCAGACCCATTTTTATATTAACCAAAGAAGTCCAGTAAATTTGCTTCAGTTAACAACGAATAAGTGAAATCATACACATCGGCAGTTCGTACTGCAATACAATTACCTGGGGGCCTAGGAAATTAGACGATAAGCAAATTAGACGGATACTACAAAAACGAAATTAGACGGAATTAATTTTTTACAGATCTGGCATTTTAGACGAAAAAGCTATGAAAAGGAAAGGGCCAACAAAATTTTTTCTTAAGAGTCAAGTTTCACAAATACAAAAAAGACATAAAATGTCAATACCTATCAAAACAATTAGTTCAAATGAACATAAAATGTCAAATCAGAATATTACAGGAGAGTTTTGAATTGAATAAATTATGCCTGATTGACTTGTAAAGTTTTTGGCCACCGAAATTGAACTGTTGTCTACAAACAATTTTATTTTTCTAACGCAATTTGTGAGCAAACAAAGTTAATTTCTCTCACTTTCGTCTATTTTCTCACAATTGCAGTTTTGCAAAACCGTCTAATTTCCTTTTAAGTACCTCCGTCTAATTTGCTTATCGTCTAATTTATCAACCCCCAATTACCTGATTGTCTGAGCGCGCGACCGCAGTCATAATTTCGCTGATTCAATAACTTATCAGTATTTCATCATGACGACACTTTCAAGTACTTTATTAACATGAATTGGCTCATCTGATTTTATTGCAAAAGCCGTCAGAACCTTCCGACTGACCAATAATTAGTCTCAAATTACTTTTGGTCAAGAAAATTTTGATAACACATAATTTTGGGGTTGCCAATATCAATGAGTCACTATTAAAATTCGAGTTGGCCAGGAAATTATATTTAGAAATTAGCTAGTCTCAATTCAATTTTAAACGGCTTTGAATGCTGGATAATTGATCACACATAAATAATTCGAGTTGGATCACACGTGGATTTTCTTTCAACCTTTGCTACCCAAAGAAAGGTCGTAGAGGTTCCAGTGTGGTATCATTTTAAAACCCTTTTATCTGTGATTCGAATTCCAAAAAAGTCCAATTTTCGACTTCATTCAACCGCCGCTAACTAAAAACAAACTAACATTTTTGCAAAAAATTATCTAAAAATTTCGAAATTTGATTTTTTTATTCTTAAATAGCGTATAACGCAACTCAAGTCCTACGAATTTTAAAAACTCAAAAAAAGCATATTAGAAATAAGATCTGCATTCTTTGAGTGTACTCTGACTGCACCCAATTACAGTGTTTTTAATTAGAAATTTTGCAAAGTTTTTTATAAAAGTTTTAAGTAAGTTCTTTGAAAAATTGTATTACGAACTAAGAGACCTCACATCCGGAAAACTAAAAGCAATTGAGCAGTCGCATTTGGACGCACTGTTTGCAATTCCTGAGAGTACTCTTAGAGTACCCAACTACAACATTGGGAAATTCAAATTTTGAGAAACTTCAACCTAAACTTTTCTGAAAAAAGATATATATTTTTTGAAAACCAGATAAAATGTCACATCAAGAAAACTACCAAGATTTAAGCAATCTTGTTTGAAGGCAATATTCGCCATTTTATTATACAATATTGGTTGTGAACTTCTCTTTTGTGAATTGTTTTGTAATTTGAGTTTTCTGAAAATTTCCGAAAAAATCTCAAAAACCGTCGTACCTCTTAAAATAAACTTAAAGATTGAGCATTCTCAAGGAGACGCCGAATTCGCAACCCCTGAGATTACTGTGACAGCCTCCAACTACAGTTTGGGAATTTCAAATTTTGAAACAAAAATAAATTTAATTTTCATGAAAATTTTTTTGAAAAAAAAAACGTCTTATCTGGAAAACTACAAGTTTTGAGCAGTCTTATTTGGAGGCAAAATTCGCAACTCCTGAGAGTAACCTGACAGAGCCTCACTACAGAGATGGTATTTCAAATTCTGCAATTTTTTATATCTAAGTTCTCCTAAAAATTTTGAGAAGAACCTAAAAAACGTCATATCTCGAAAACTACAAGGATTTGAGCAGCCATATTCAGAGGCAACTCAAATCCTTGTAGGGTTTGCAACCACCAGATTTCCAAGGATTTCCGGTGGTTGCAAATTCAAGGATTTGCAACCACCGAAAATTCCCTCAAAATAATTTCCAACAACATGATTGAGATCTTCAAAGTTTTGGAATTTTTTAATATCAAAGTTTTTTGAAAATTTTTGAAAAAATCACAAAAAACGTCATATCTCAAAAACTACAAGCATATGAGCAGTGCTATGTAGAGGCAAAATTCGCACCCCCTGAGAGTTCCCCCACAATTTCCAACAACAAGGAAAACTACAAGTTTTGAGCAGTCTTATTTGGAGGCAAAATTCGCAACTCCTGAGAGTACCTGACAGAGCCTCACTACAGAGATGGTATTTCAAATTCTGCAATTTTTTATATCTAAGTTCTCCTAAAAAATTTGAGAAGAACCTAAAAAACGTCATACCTCGAAAACTACAAGGATTTGAGCAGCCATATTCAGAGGCAACTCAAATCCTTGTAGGGTTTGCAACCACCAGATTTGCAAGGATTTGCGGTGGTTGCAAATTCAAGGATTTGCAACAACCGAAAATTCCCTCAAAATAATTTCCAATAACATGATTGAGATCTTCAAAGTTTTGGAATTTTTTAATATCAAAGTTTGTTGAAAATTTTTGAAAAAATCACAAAAAACGTCATATCTCAAAAACTACAAGCATATGAGCAGTGCTATGTAGAGGCAAAATTCGCACCCCCTGAGAGTTCCCCCACAATTTCCAACAACAAGGAAAACTACAAGTTTTGAGCAGTCTTATTTGGAGGCAAAATTCGCAACTCCTGAGAGTACCTGACAGAGCCTCACTACAGAGATGGTATTTCAAATTCTGCAATTTTTTATATCTAAGTTCTCCTAAAAAATTTGAGAAGAACCTAAAAAGAAGAACCTAGAGGCAAAATTCGCACCCCCTGAGAGTTCCCCCACAATTTCCAACAACACCATTGATGTCTTCAAAGTTTTGGAATTTTTCAAAGCTCGAGTAGTACAGTGATTTGAAAAGTGAGATTTGGAGGCAAGATTTGCAACCCCCGAGAGTACCCTGACAGCACCCAACTACAGGGTGACAATTTCAAAAATTTATGATTTTTTTAAATTAAATTTTCTAGAAACTTTTGAAAAATTTCGAAAATTGCCGTAACTCGTAAACTAAAAGGATTTGGGAATTCATATATGGAGGCCAGAATCGCAAAACCTGAGAAAACCCTGAGCTTATTTCAAACTTGATGAAACCAACACTGAATTTAAAATTGAAAATCGAAAAATATCTTAACCATTCCACTATACGATATAGCTTAGGCGCGCAAAAACTCTTTTGTTTAACATGCAAAAAAATACGTTGAAAAAGCTTAAACATGGGGAGATAGTGAAGCCCGCATTTAAAACAGAGGCGAAGTAGCACTTCGCATACACAGGCAACAATACGACCGACAACACTACAGGGAAAAACTGAACGAAAAATTTGAGTCTACAAAATTTCATAAGTGACGCACGCCAAATATGAGCCTAGATAATTGCTAATAGAAGCAAGCCAATTATGATACATTAATAATACAGTAGTCTGCGTTAATATACAATATTCTGTGTTAAGTTCAGCATTGGACGTACTTAATAGCTGGATCAAAACGAAAACTTTCAAAATGAACACATTGTCGCAACAATATTTGCGACTTAGGTTGAAAAAAAAAAAAAGAAATTTCATACTATAACACAGGCTATACTTGTGTAAATATATAATAGATAGATAAAAGATAGATGAAAAAGCAGGTATACAGACAGACAGACTCAATTTGACATCGAAAACAAATTGCTGGAAAATTAATGACCTTGCGGAAAGTTCATCGAAAAAGTTTCTTAAGTATTGCAATATCTGATATAGCTTAAACGTGAAATTCTTTCGTTAAACATGCAAAATTATTATGCTTGAACATGGAAGATAGCTGTCACACGCATTTAAATATAGTATAGGTAGACATATATAGATAGATAGATAGATAGATAGATAGGTTTTTTATCAGATTTTTGAAATTATTTACCACAACAGTTGTGGTCGGAACATTTTGAGCTACTTGTTAGCAGTTCGTGATTTATTCTGATAATTATTTAAATCTTTCATATAAATCACTTGAAATAATCTATGGTCTCTCGAGCTGAACCTACAAAGATGGACGCTTAAGCAGAGCAGAAAGATCATTAACCAACTATTTGGTCACCCTGTCTTGTTGATGATAAAACTTCATAAAAAATAAATTATCTAATTTGGTCAATTTTTTGGTAATAGATCCGATTTTAATAGATAAAGATAGAACTAGATTTGGTATTGAATTTTGATTGGAGTCATCTACAACTAATTCATTTTTACAGACATTTTGTACATCAAGTTATTAGACACAATTCAAGTATATCAAAACGTTCAAAATCAATTCATTCATTTAAATACAACTTTTCAAATCAGTTCCATAAAACCAATGTTAATCTCCTGCTTGTTGCCCATTCTACATATTCATAGTTTCCACAACAATTCTCAAGATTCAATTTAAGAAGTTAAAACAAAGTCAATCAGAAGTTAACTCAGTTTTGCTTCACTTTTTTTCATCCCGAAAACTCAATTGGTAAAGTGGCAAAACTCGACTGTTCACTCTTCGCACGTAAAAAAACCCATCATCCTCGCGCACATTGTTAACACCTTTAATCACGTGAAAATCACACGCGCAATTATCCACATCCATCAAATCGTGAACACAATTTCTCCTGGAAAACCCTGGAATCAATTCACACATAATAACACAATTGTCAGGATTATCCAGTTTTCCTGATTTTCCACAAATCACCGCTGCTTCTGGATTTCCGGCAAAAATTAACTTTTCTCCCGCTATTTTCAAATCTTCGTCTGTGGCGTGATTAAAACCGTCTTTAAAAATATCCTCAGCCTTTTTCGATTTAGTTGCGTAATAAACATAAATAGGCTTTATTTCCACGATCCAATCAGATTTGTCCATTTTGGCTCCGTCCGTCGCTTTTTTGTAGCTCGTCAAGCCTTTGTCGGGGTTCGGAATGGTTTACAGCAGATTTCAAGAAAAATAAAAACATGAAATTTTTCAAATTGTCAAAGATCCTTTTCAAAAATCTACTTCAAGTAGCCAAAATACATTTCAAAGCTCCTATTCGAAATTCTTAAGTTAAGATGATTTCGCAACTAATAAAAGAAACAACATGGGATCTTAGTGCAGAAAAAATGGTTAATACATCTTAGCCCAGTATTGATTTTTTCGTAAAAATTCCGAAACCTGACCTTTTTCCAAGTTGAAATACTGCTCCAGCTTTTGATTCGGTCTATACAGTGCTTTCTCAACTGTATATATTTTCCCTGACATGTTGATTTGATATTTTACTTCAATTGAAAGACCTACCGTACAATCCATCCAACCTAGCACGACTTCGAAGTGATCATAAAACGGATGGCAAGGACTTGAGCACTCTTTCAAATCAATCAACGCAACAGTCTCTTCGTCAGCCTTTTCACTACAAAAATTTCCAGTATACAGCTTTTCGGACCAATGAGACTTTAAATACATCCCAGTCGCTTCGTCAACTGTCTCTTTACAATCTATTTTGTATCCTTTTTTATTTATTTTCTCAAATTCGTAGTTATTTTTTTTCGCGGATTGGTCAAAGTTCTGCTCCATATCTTTGCAAACTTCGTCCGGATACTCAGGCTTGGTTTTCGACTCAGAACGTTTTGATTTTTTCACGTTTTCTTTGTTAGTTTCCCTATAAAATTCGTCACCTTTCTGTTTTTGGCCTAGGTTGTCTCTTTTAGCACCACGTAAATTTAGAAGCTTGGACGAACAATTCTCCACATCAGTTTCCTGACTTCTATCTTGGTCAGATGATACTGAATTTTTTCCGATGTCCAGTTTTTTCGGTTCTGTCGTCAACTTTTTAAGGGAAGAAATTTCGATTGTGAGATCAAGGCTACTACCTGAACTCGACTCAAAACACTTCGAATCAATGCTGCCAATGCTTGTAGTTTCAGAACCCACTTCTTCAACTGTTTTCTGCTTTCGTAGTAATTTCCTTCCACCACGATCCTCCTTGGCATCTGGTGAAAAGTATCTAGTGCATAGTAGTCCAGAGTTCAAGGTCAAATCAGCAGACGGATCGAATCGACCATACTCTCCGAGTGCTGAATCTTTGTCCTTCACATATCTTGAATCCCATTTCGGCTCCGAGCACTTATTCTCTCTGACCGGTTCTTTCTCAAATTTCCGCCATTTAGTCTTTGTCAGGGCTTGACCAATTCGCTTCAATTCAACATTTCTTAAGCGTTCGCATTCCTCAATTAAGCAAGCTCGACAATGCGCCAGACCTTTACATGCATGCACTCCTACTCCCTTTTCTGGACTGTTATTGAACTGTACACTAGAGAACTCTCTATGCGCATTTCTCTGATTTCGAAATTTTTCGATCATACTGCGGTCGGTGCTATCTTTTTCAGACGATTGCAGATCGTTTCGAGACTCGCTTCGAGATTGTGATTGCATTTCTACATTATGTACTATGGTATCAATTGACGCTCGAATCTGTCCAACTCTCTCCGAAAATGCATACATATCAACTTGGATTAACTCTTCATTGCCTATATCCTGTTCTAATTTCTGTATATTAAATTTGGCGATCATCAACTGAGCTTCAGCATTGGCGAATTTTCCCAGGTCTTTCGGCTCTTTTGCACAATCGAGCGAAAATGATTTCTTCGCAAAAGCTTTTCGCTTCTCCTCTGCTGACAATTCGCTGCTTCGATTGCTAATCTAAATCATAGCCAACAGACATGTTAGAGTGTCAAGACAACAACCCAAGAACAAAAAAAAAGATTTTTAAAGAAGTTTTCTCAAGTTCAAGGAAAAAATACCACCCTAAAGTTCTTTCGTTTTCAAGAATCTTTTATGATTATCATTACGCGGCCGCAACAATGACGCTCTCTTTGCTCTTCCATCGTTTTCCTGTTCTTTGATCGTTCCGACAAAAATTTAACATGTTTAAATACTTGTCTCTGGATTCCAGAGACTTACACACACCAAACTGTGCGCCTATCCAGTGCACATTTGGCCTCGTAATGTTTTGGTCGAAATAACCCAAGAAAACAGAAACCTTTTTTAGATCCATGACAATCTATCCTACTCCTCTCTACCCTATGCCATTCCACCCTTTACTAATCTAACCTATATTCCAATTTACCCTATGCCAATCTACCTTATGCTAATCTACCCTCTGTTCTATACACAGTTCCATTGGTCAGATATAAATGCGCTGACGATTAAATTAGATTAATTTGGTATAAAGGGTAGAATGGCATAGGGTAGATTGTATTAGGGCAGATTGTCTTGCTACCATCGTTTTAAGTATCCCCCTTTTTTTTGCGAAAAGGTGGAGGGTATTACTACCCTAAGGGGATTGTTAAAGAAAGGGATTGTCCTTTTTGTGCAAGCTTTCCTATTGTCACTAGGATTTTTTTATTCCGCTGCAACTATGACAATTAAAATCAACTTTTGAACCTAACATTCTTTCACGAATCTAAAATCAAATATGAGTGTGAACAAAAACTTCCTGAAAAAATTAATCAGACATGACTTATAAAAGTGCCTTCACTACATTAACTAACACTTAATAACCAAAGACGATTAAATGACAGAATATCCGTTTGCTTTTATAAAAAAAAACATTATTTTTCAATGATCTACCAAACCAGATTTTTATTTATATCTTACTTTTGACTATTACCTTTCTAATAATCCTTTTATCCACTAAGTTCAAGGCCACTTACCTTCAATTCGTCAAAACCCATCTGCTCAAAGGACGTTTGTTTCTTCACCGCTCCAAACGGAACTTTTCTCGGCTGGTTTTTCCTTCCAAGTTTCGATATGGTAAGAACATTGTCTCTCCATTCCACTTGAATCGGCGGCCTTTCAACGACGGGTTCCGTTAAGTCTGTTTTAAATCCTGTTTCAGGTGGTTTCCAGAATTTCCAACGCTTTTCCTCGGAGCTGGACTTAGCATCAGCTCCCAATTCTGGCTTCTCTTTTTCTTGATCATTCTCGGACATACTATCGTTAGCCATGACAGCTCTCTTTGCTCCATTTCTTAATTTTCTGAAACGACGAACCTTACCAGAGCTCGGTTGCTCTTTTTGGTCTCCGGTGACGCGGCTATTGTATGGCATTTTAAGTGAAACAGCTTCTTTAGCTTCATTTTTCAGATAATTTGAACGCAAATCACTTTCAGATTTCTTTGTTTGAGGTTCAGAAACATTCGCCGAATTTTTTGCATTAGCATTGACTTCATTCAACTTCTTTCCCATTTGGCGTTCAGAAACATCTTCCAAATTCTCACATATTATCTGACTTTTTTTGAATGAATTGGTGTGTTTCAATAGCCGATTCTGGCGTTCCGTCTTGGTTAGACAGCGAACACGCATACCACAAAACTCACAACCCAATTCACAGTAACGGGATTGAAAGCCGGAATTTATGGGGTAGCGCTCTATATAGCCGTCCGTAGGACTTGATGTATATAAGTTCGCAACACTGAACCGCCAGTTTTCATTGGTTTTGTTAAAAGCGACCGGTGGAAACTTCTGCTTCCAAAAAGCAGATGGGTTTTCGCCAATTCCTACGGCACATTTTCTCCAAGCATTATGTCCGTACTTTAAATCAAAGTTTATTTTTTCCTGTTCCTCAAAGCCCGTTGAACTGTTTAGACTTCCACTCATATCGATGTAATTTGAGATCATCAATGAAGATGATTGATCCTTCGGACGACTGGGTAGGTTTGCTTCCTCATATCCTTGTTGCTCTTTCATCACCTTTTCCCAGAACAGGAAATATTCTTCTTCCTCTGCTGCTCTTTTACAAGTTTCGCAATTACACGGATTGCCATCCATCGTTAAGCAGTAATTAGACTGCAGTGCATTGTTTGAGTCCAGTTTCTGCAGTTGCGTAGAACTTCCCGAATCGTGTTTTTCTTCATCTAAAATTTCAATGCGATTAGGCCATTCATGATTACTGCGTTTCATGCTTCCAGAATTGCTGCGACTGAAAGAACAGGACTCTTCCCATCCCATTTCCATGTAATTAGACATAAAGTTACCATTGAATTGTTCTTTCTGATTTTCCTCAAAACGGCTCATTTTCTCATTCCCGTCCATGTTCAAGTAATTTGTTTGCACGTTAGCCTCCGATCCCGTTTTCTGGATTTCCGATAGATCCACTGAACTAACTAGATAGTCACCCATTGCTACGTAATTAGACTCCGTAAATTTTTCAGATCGAGGTTTGTGATTCCGTGTATTCGGACCATTACTGTCTTGTCCTTCAAAACTTTCAAATTTATCAACTTTTAATCTTCTTTTCTTGTGCTCAGAAAGCTCCGACGCTTTGATCGTGTCTTTTGTGCTTCCACTACTGTCATAAATATTAAAAATTTCTTCAGCTTCGACCGGCAGATTCATCTCAGGCTCGTCAAAAAAGTGTCCATTACGTTTGCTTCTTGAATTGCTAGAAGAATTTGACATTCGATTGCGCTTCGGGACGATGGGTGAATCACTTACACTCGTCCTTTTAATGACATCGAGCCCGTACTTGATGTCGTTCGCATTAGCAGGTCGCTCCGATTTCAAAACCAGCGGCATCAACGTAACATTACACTTCGTTTCTGATTCTCCAACTTTTTCTTTTTCAGCAATTTTGTTTTCTGCAGTTTCGTTTCTAGCAATTTTGTTTTCTCCAACTTTTTCCTTTTCAGCAATTTTCGTTTCTCCAACTTTTTCATTTTCAGCCATTTTGTTTTCTTCAACTTTTTCCTTTCCAGCCATTTTGTTTGCCAGCATTGGCACTGGAATTTTGGATTTCATATCAACTAAACAAAAATTTATTGCAGTCAATATTTAAATTGAACTTCAAACAAATCTGAAGTCAAACAGCAAAAAATTTATTACGACCTATTTACATCCATTAAGACCATTTATCCACGGGGGAAGGACCAACACAAGATCTGTACAGCTCGTCACGGCGAACCGCTGTTGTGCACCTGTTTAAGAACTACATGCAATTTTTTGGTTATTTTTCTGGGCTGGGTAATGTTGCTTCACCCTCAAGCAACGAGCACGGATCATCGAACGAGCAAGGGCTTCGAACATCCGACCTTTCGACTGAGAGCTGTAACCACTTCACCGCCGCTCCCCCTATTTAAGCGTCTCCTTTGCGTTCCTTGACACTAAAATAGAACTATATAAGTGTCTTCGCGACCTATACCAGTGTCTTCATTTTGTTCATTGACACAAAACAAAACTTTATATTTTTATTGCTGAATTATTGAACAGCGTCTTGGATATCCTGAATCAATTATGAGTCACTTGTATCCAAGTAAAAAATGCAGTTTAATAAAGCGGATAAAGAAGGTAAAACTGTTTTTGCGACAAAACTGGATTTAATTTTTCAGGCTTGGATCAAAAACTGATTGCCTTTAGTTATTATGATTTTTACTTTTTTGAAATAGCCTTAATATTGTGACAAACTTATTAACAAAAGCTGGGAATGAGTTCCGAAAATTAAAGTTCTCTAACTAATGAAACGAATACTGATATCCCTGCTCTCCGATACGTAGATCAAACTCCGATCGCTAAACTGGAAAAGAAAAGACGAAGAACATCACTAAGTCCATGCCAAGAGGTGAGCAAAAAAGTAGATAATTACATGGCAACAATGATAAAAGCAAAAATATCAGAGTCACTTGAGTCTACTGTGCCAACTATCATTGACAAACTCCGATCTGAACTGAATGTGCTGCTGAAAAATTTCATTCCAACTAGAAGACAGAGCAGGTTTTGAAGCGCAATCAGATGCAGAGCTCCTTGATTCTTATAATAAACGTGCTAACCTTAAAAGTTTGGAGATGTCGGAAACACGCGATGAAGGCAACAAGCCAAACAGTATAGTATCAACGATTCTATTGCTAATCTGAAGAAGGTTTTGGAAATTGTTAACGCAATTACGGCAACTGTGAACGACAAAGACGTATCAATTTCACACAGGTTACAATCTCGACCCAACGCTGTTAGGCCAATTATTGTTTGTTTTTCTCGTGGCGTGGCGAAGAAAAACATTCTAAGGAAAAAGTAAAGCCTTCAACAAGATACAAACTATCAGAAGGTCAAAATATTTGAAGATACGACCAGAGCAAGAGCAAACTTCCTTCGTATAAGAAAAATGATGGACGGATAAATTCATGCTGGATTCGCGAGGGGACAATCCACTTTATCTGGAAGGCTTAGTAAAGACTATATAAAATCCAAGGCATGATTGAAGGCTTTTAACTTCTGGACTACTCTTTGCTAGATATCAACTCTTGTTTCATTAATTTTTCCGGCATGTCCTCTAATGACATCGAAACCTGAGACATCAACAAAATCAAAGTGCATTAAAAATAAAAACTATTTATGTTCAATCTAATTGGCTAATGTTCGCGCAATCAAAAATCCTATCCTTGTATAAACAAAGACTGGAGTCTTCTGATCTACTGTGTAAATGGAGTGCAGCCAGTATTTAGACAGCCGCGTATTCATACTCGTCAGTATTTAGACAAATACTGTATGAACCAATCAGAATCGAGAAAAAACATAATAATCCAAAATAAATAATAATTATTTATTAATTTCTTCTTTGTCTCGATTCTGATTGGTTGAAACAGTATTTGTCTAAATACTGAGCAGTCTGAATACGCGGTTGTCTAAATACTGATATGTAACCTGTGTAAATGATGCATACAATTTGTTTAGTGATTCTCACGATATCACTGAATACGTATACACCACTCAAAACAACGAAAAGAACATGCAAAACCAACAAAACTCGATTTGATAAAAGCTTAAAATATGTCATTATAAAACGAAACCAAACAAATGTAGAGAATGGAAAAAGGAAAAAACAGTTTTGAGCAAAAAGTTTTTGCGGGAACAGCGAAAGGCTGAAACATCAAAGGGAGATTATTTTTTCCACAAAAAAAACGGAAACTATTGGAGACTCGAGACAAGTTCATTTAAATTTAAATGAAATAGCAGGAAAAACGTCGAAACCATCTAATATTACCGCAATTGTTGCATCAATATGGATGAAACTGGATAATTCTATAGAAACTGATCAGCATTTTTGTTCAATTGAGAATATAGGTCAAAGTACCTTCAATGTACCTTTTCGATTGGTCACTTTTCGAGATGTTAAACATAATCAATAACCTTAAGCCTAAAGCACTCAAGCAGCATTGAAGAAATAAGTAATCTTTTTTTGACAAAATTTGCCATGTAACTGCGCCTTATATGACATGTACCAAATATTTCGTTCCGCTCAGGTATAGTTCCACAAGCGCTTAAAAAGGCTAAAACTTTACCATTGCATAAAGGTGACAGCAAATAATTACATAGTTTTGGTAAAATTATTGAGACAGCCCTGTACTCAAGGCTCTATAATTACCTCGAAAAATTAAAATACTCTATGAACGCCAATTTGGATTTCGACAAAAATACAAAACCATTGATGATTTCGAGAAAAATACAATTCTTTGGATTTCGACAAAAAATACAAAACCATTGACGCTTTAGCTGAATTAACTGAGTGAATATGGTTAGGAGTTGAAAAAAATCCGAGATACAGTTTTTTCATTCATTTAAAGAAAGCGTTTGATACAAATTGAAATGCTATGAAATTAAAACTGCTACAAATGGTTGAAACGCTATCTATCAGACAGGCGACAATTTGTTCAAATAGAAAATACGACGTCTAATTGGCTCACAGCCAGCACTCGTGTGCCACAACGGTCTGTACTTCGACCAAAAATTTTATTTACATAAATGATATGCATCAAGCAGCTTCAAACTCAAACGGCTTTCTATTTGCAGATGACAAACAATGGCTTAAGATAGCATTGCGTTTGAATTCTTTCAGTCACATATTGAAAAGTTTTCTAACTGGCTGAAGGTTAATAAAATATCTTTAAATATTGATAGAACGAACATTATTAATTTCGACAAAAAAAGTGCTTCCAACCTTAATGTTGTCCTTGATATTATTGCGTATGGTCCTTAGACTTCATGTATTTAGGTCTAACAGTAGATAATTACAAAACGGTTTGCTGGTTTGCGGTTGTACCAGTTTCACGATGTTAAATCAAATTTTAATGATACAACGAAAAATTAAGCGCATAATTTACTTCAAAACAATTCGAAACTATCACTCAATTATTCATAGATAAAAAAATTTTGTCCATTCATGAGCTTCATCCTGCTCCCTCGCTAATAGAGGGTCAAAATTAATGTATATTTTGAGTGAACATGATGTGTTACCAGTTGGTGTTGGAAACAATTCTCTGTATGATGAAAATTTAAAGAAAATTATATACTTGGTAACCATGTAATGAGAACGAATGGAAAGTATATTCGTATCTGAAAATCAACTACTTTTATCTGCACGCAGGAAATTGCAAAGACCTTAGTTTTTCGTTTATGAGTTAATATTTTTTTCTCGATTCTGTAATTTTCCCCTTCCTTGAAAAATTAAAAGAACTCGTAAGATCTATTGCGTTTTTCTATTGACTTGTGGATTTGAAACCGTGTGGTCAGATGCCACATGACACATGCTCGAGACTACGGGTTCAACCCCAAAACATAGACTCTCAGAACCTTCTCGTTTTCGAGAAATCACGTTTTTTTTCTGAATTTGGGAAAATAATCAAAGTTAAAAAAAAAAACAAAAAAAAAATATAAAGATTTATATTATTTTATCACGATCAAAGTTTTCAATTGTGACCAGACACTCATTTTGTGTCTGCTGCTCTTATTATAAGCTTGAAAACCTGTTTTCGTTTTAAGAAACTGCGATTTTTACGAACCTTCAAAAAGCCAACGAAAATAAATGATTTTTTTCTTTATATTTTTCATTATTAATAATCTTATATATCTCGTTTGCTTGAAAATGATAAGTGCTATCAATTTGTGTGCGCTCATATCTAATAAACTTGCTTTTCCTAGTACGATGCATGAAGAAAAGGGGAAAATGTTGTGCTGTAAATAGTTTTTTCTTTTCTGTTCTTTGCAATTAAAATGCTGTTTACTGTCAATGTTTGCTTAATCAATCCAGGTTAGAAAATATATAGGCAAGGAATATGCCTTTTGCCTATCCCCTCCAGTATCAAATTAATCAATTATTGATACAAATTATATTACATTTAATTTGATTTTAGAGAAATAAATGTTCTTTCTTTTGTTTGTTTCTTTCTTTCTAAAACCTTTGAGCAGTACACAGTATGAATTAGAGTTACCTGTATGAATGTCTTTTCTTCCACCAAGCGCCTCAATGAACAGCAACAACTCAACAACCGCTCGATATTTCGAACTCCTACAGTAAGCATTCAAGTCTTCTAAGCTTAACAAGTCTTCTAACTTGTGATGTTTCCTCAGCGGTGCTAAATCATCTTCGCTCGAGTATAGTGACTGCGAATCTTTCGGTATGTCATAGGTAGTTTCGATAAAACTCTTGATGTCTTCAATTCTAGTACCTAAAAGCAATTAGATTTGAAAAATTTCTGAAGGGCAGTTATTATTTTTTGAGGCGACTCGTCTTTTGTCTACAGTCTATAAAACTGAAAAGAATGATCAAGAGAACAAATCCCCATCGACGTACCAATGTATATTCCCATAAAAATGATCTCAAAAATTACGCATTAGGTCAGCGTGCGAAATGTCGATTCTGACTGGTTGAAAAGCAAAGCCTTTAACCGCAATGATTTCAGATTTTATAAGTCCAAAACTTTTCCAGTTTATTAAGCATATAAAGCTTTGGAGCTCTCCTTGAATATATCTAATTTTTCGAGACAAGCTGAAGGGCATTTTAAAAAAAAAGTTATTGATCAAAAACTGCACGTTATTGTCGAGCCTTCGTTCCTCTCGCTTATCTCTCAAAAATGGAATGAACTTTCACTATGTGCGATTGGCATACGCTTTAGTGTAAGCCGATTGTTCACCTGCTTGCAACAAAGAGATCAGATAACTTACTGATAAGAAAATCCAACTTCAGGGGCCTCGATTTGAACACGTAGACAGACTGGAGTTGCAAATACACAGTAACTTGCCGCATATCGAGTTTTCTTCTCTGAACAGCCAACAAATTAATGGGATCTTTTCCTTCGTGTGTATATGCAAGTTCCATGAAAGCTTTCAATGATTGGTCCTTGAAAAGCTTCCTGCCTACAAACGCGTGCAGACGAGAACAACAAGCAAATTGAGCAAAAAACTTTCGAAGGTACGACAAAATAGTTTCGTCTTTATTGAGCTCCACAAATTCAGTCCGAGGTAACTAAACAAAACAATTTCAATCCAAAACCCCTGATTAAAAAATGATCAGAGCAAAAATGAGTAGATTTTCATTACGAGGCCAAACTGTGTATTTTGTGAATTGCAAGCGTATTCCGCAACAAGGACACTCTTTGTTCTTTCGTTTTCTTAGATTGTTACGAAAAATTTTTAACATGTTTAATCCTTGTCTCTGAACTCCAGGGACCTACACACCAAAGTTTACGCCTATCCAGAGCACAGTTTGGCCTCGTGTTGCTGACATTTTACTGTCGACTAGCCTAGAAAAAGGCAGACAACACACTTGAACTGGATACAAATTTTCAGTCAGATCTGTAGATGAACAAATATTCATTTCGCGACACAACAGAATCATTGTCTAGAATCTCTAATTGTCCGCCAAAAAGAAACAAATAAACGAAATTAATTGGTAAAAAAATATAGGAAATTAGATTCAAAGAGTAGTGTCGTTGATCTGAGCGGCAAGAGCTGATTGTAAAATAGATTCGGCAAGGGTTTCGTTATAGCTTACCAGAATGCTCTAGTCATATTCATATCATAGATCTCAGCGAAAATGGCTAATTGAAAAACATTGCAGGATTCTTTTTTCACATTGAACCGTTTTTTGTTCGTGGCGCGATGAGAGGATCTGGTCGATATTTATACTAAACTAAGCAGTTTTCTTATTGGGCTAATTGCCTAATTGTAGGCGTTAAGAAAGAAAAATGAATGAGGCTTGAAATACGCATGAAAAACGAATGAGACGTCTTTCACAAACTTCAATTGAGAATGGAGTCCTGTTATTTAAGTACAGTAAAAGCAAAGCCCGCCGACGGCACGGGGACCTAATCGTAGAATCAGAATTTAACACAAACGAAAAAACATTTCACCAACAAAAAGAGAAAAAGGCTAAAGAGCTCTAAAAGAGTCACATAGTAAAACGTAAATAAAAGCAAAAAAAGTAGAATTCTGCTATGTGCTTGAGCTCAACCTCAGATGTCGAGATAAAACTTCACATGCCCTTGCACCTGCGCCATGAACGCTTAACCGTAATTAAACACAAAAGGCCAGCTAAAACTGGAGGTATCTGATTGATAATATTTAAAAGAATGTAATGCGTAATTTTCCATGTCAAAAGGTCAAAAATTGGACTTTTACCTGCTACCTATTACATGTAGGGAGAACACGCTTTAGCAGGGGAGATTGCATCTCCGTTTGATTGATTAACACGGATAAATTAGCAGATTTGGCACATAGAAAACAAAACCAGTCAGCAGAGAAATTTTCGAACACCTTTATTCGATTGAGCCCTCTAAATCAGATTTGACAGGGTAGTTTTCACAAATTTTCAAAAAACTAGCAAAATTTCAATAATTGTAAACTTTTTCAAGCGAGAACTTTTTCATCAAAAATTAGGGAACCCTCAATCTCAAACTTAGCAGTACAATTTTCCAAAAAATAAAAAAGTTTTCACAGAGGCGAATAAGAAGTCGAAAAAATAGAAAACGTTGTAAAAAACTAGTTCAACCAAAAAATAAGTCTTGATATGTCTCAATAGAAGGTCATTCTAGGCTGACAATCCGAAAAAGTCGATTATTAAACTAGCAACGGAACAAAACCAAGAGGAAACAAAGCCGACAATCTTTGAGCAGACAAGTTGAGAAAAAAATATGATTTCATAGAAAAATCTTTACAGTTTTAAAAACCATCTGAGACTAAAATGAGTAACACTTGCAATTTCAACTATAAGGGAAGTTGCCTACAGCGCAACAAAAGAAAAATCAGTGAAATGGCAACTCAGCCGACTATCTTTGAGCGACCTGTTGAGCTGAAAAAAAAAACGATTTAAATAAAACTAGCGCGTAACGCACCTTCGGTGCTTCGAATTTATGACAACTCACAATACCGCAGATATTAGAAATAATATTTGCATCCTGTGAATGTACTCTTACAGCACCCAATTACAGGGTTGGTAATTTCAAATTTTGTAAAGTTATTCAAGTTTTTTTAATTCAAAATTTGAAAAATTATACAATTTTATGACTTTTTTTTATATCTAAGTTCGTTATAATTTGTAAAATGACAGAAAAACGTCATTTCTCGGAAACTAAAAAAAATGGAGCAGTCGCATTTGGACCCAAGATTTGCAACTTCTGAGAGTACTCATAGCACCCAACTACAGTGATGGGAACTTCAAATTCTGAGGCACCTCAAATTAAAATTCTCTTTTTTTTTAAAATGACATATCGTCAGAACTACAAAACTTGAGCGCTCATATTTGTAGGCAACAATTGCAACCCCTGAGAGTACTCTGACAACCCCTAATATCAGATTAGGAATTCCAAACTTCGAAGAAAAAAATTAAACCTAAATTTTCTGAAAACTTTTTTGAAAAGAAAAACACAAAAAACGTCATATCTCAAAAACTAACAGGATTTAAGCACTCATAGTTGCAGAAAAACTCGCAACCCGTAGAAGTGGCATGAAAAAGCCTCAATATAAAGATAGGAACTTAATTTTTTGTATCAAGTTCTTAGAACATTAAATAAAAAACATTACAAACGTTACATCTCGGAAGCTATAAGCATTTGAGCAGTCGCAATCGGATGCCAAAATTTGCAACATGAAACTCCTGAGAATACCCTAACAGTACCCAACTACAAGGTTGAGAATTTCAATACTTTTAAAATTGTCCACAATTTTATTAAATTTTTAAAATCTAAGTTTTCTGAAAAAAAAACATAAAACATGTCATATCTCGAAAACTACGAGGATTTGAGCAGTCATATTAGGAGTCAAGATTCGCAATCCATGAGAGTACTTTGAAAGAGTACTCTGACAGCCCCACTACAAATATGAGAATTTTAAATTTAGAAGAAAAAAAAATTTTATTTTATGAAAGTTTTTTGAAAAAGTCACAAAAAACGTCATATCTCGAAAACTAGAAAAACTTGGACAGTCATATTTGAAGGCAAGTTTCGCAATCCCTGAAGTGCCCTCACAGTTTCACACTACAGGATTGAGATTTTAAAAACTTTTGAATTTTTTTAAATCTTGAGTTTTTTGAAAAAATTTTGGAAAAAATCATTTAAAGCGTCATATTTCAAAAACTACAAGGATTTGAGAACTGAGATTTGGAGACAAGATTCGCAACCCCTCAGAGTACCCTGTCAACACCCAACTACAGTGATGAGAATTTCAAATATTGTCAAATCTTAAAATTTTACGGTTTCTAGAGATTTTTGAAAAATCTCGAAAATTGCCGTATCTCGTAAACTAAAAGGATTTGGTTATTCATATATGGAGGCCAAAATCGCAACACTTGGGGAAGGCCTGACAGCATCCCAATATTGGGTTGCTAATTTCTATATTGGTGAAATAAAAATAAACACTGAATTCAAACTCGAAAAAATCTTAACCATTGCAAAATACGATATAGATTAAACCTGAAAAAATTCTTTTCTTAAACATGCAAAAATAATACGTTGAAAAAGCTTAAACATGGCGAGATAGCTGTCACTCGCATTTAAATATAGTATAGATAGATTAAAAAGCTTCAAGTCAGATTCCTTGAACCTCCAACGAACAATACTTGCAATTGCAATGAAAATTCGGTACAGGAAAAGCAAGATAAATGATGTAGCAACTAAGCCGACAAAATTTAGCAGAATAACGGAAGACCAACAATTCAATTATTACCCTTTTTTCAATTGCACACATACTGAAAAAAAAACAAAGTCTGGCCGAGAGTCGAACCGCAGACATTAGGCTTAAAGGCGACGGCGTTAACTCCAGTCCAAGGAACCTGGAGGTAATGAAGATTCAATAAAAAAGCAATTTGTAGAAAAGTTAAAACGTGTAAGAAAAGTTGTTTACTGGAAATACCTGATTTGAAATACCTGATGCATAAGTAATGCCTGATTTTTTCCCTCGAAACTACGCAATGTATTTTATTACGCCATAAAGCATAAGCCGAAACCATTTAATCGAAAAAAAACTAAATAAAAAAGTTATTAAAAATCAGACTTGGTAAATTTATTAAAAATCAGACAAGTTACAATTTTTATACACTACAGTCAGAAAATCATAATAAAATCCATGCTAAACAAAAACTGAAAACAATCCGAAAAATTTTAAAGAAGTACATGGAAAATCTTCTAAAGTGATTTTTTCTAGAACAATTTTCAGATTAATTTCAGTTTTTTGGGTGTTGACAAGAGCCTTCTAAATTGACCATTATGTGAACAAAATTATTTACAGGAAGAAAAATCTAGTACCCAGGTTGCAATACCCTTGCTTGATGCAATGGTAAAAATTGACGAGAAGCATGTACCCAAGAGAATTTTTTCTCCTCAATTCATTCAATGAAGTCTGTCAGTTTCATCAAAGTTGCGATGAAGGTTGTCGTACCTTTCTGTTCTAATTACACAGCAGTCGGCCACTCTTACATTTTTTAAAAAAAAGAGCTGAACAAAGCGAAAGAGGCAAGTTAGAGGATCAGTTTTTAAAATTAAGTCTTGCAATGTTCCTTCATATGTAATTACATGAGCAAACGCACTTACCTATGTCAAACTTACCAATTGGAAACCACGACGACCAAAAAAATTTATCGGCAGAAAAACACATCTAAAATCGATCGTTATATATAGAAAAGATGCAATCATTATAATAACATAAAAAAGTCAGACAAACGATAATCCAAAGACTCGATTTGTTCAAGGCAGAAATTTAACACTTTGCGAAAAAAAATCACCCCCGTTCCGGAGTTAAACTCTAAACCATTAAAGCCAAGAACAGAAACTGTTCCAATTCACCCAGGGAGCAGCTGTACAATAGCAAAAAAAACTTTCACAAAAAAGAACACTTTCTAGTAGATTTGTAAAATTGGATTACTGCAAAATTAGTTCCCGTTTACAAGACATATGCTCTCTAAATCGTAAAAACAATTACACCCAATTTATCTTATTGAAAAAATCATGTTTTGTATCTTAAAATCTTCTAAAATTAGGTTCAGGTATTTGCGAGGGCCTAAAAAACAGAAGAAAGTCACATTTTTTCATCATCCGAATCTAACAATTAATACCTAGGCGTCCGAAACAACAAAACTAACATAAAATATCAGCTGGCGTATACGGCAGATCTTTTCTTCAGTCTGATCCCAGAAGAAGCAGTGGAAATTAATCGGGATCAACATAGCACTGAAACAAAGGTATGACAAAATGATATGGTCCTTAGGAAGATGAACTGTGTAACATTCGCCCAGAAGATACATATCGACGGAAAACAAAACTAGGTCTTAAGACGACTGGCTAGCGTCTAAACAGAGCTTTGCATGCTTTTCACCGTCTCTACCAAGCCAGTACTTTTCGGTGGTCTTTTCTAACATCGGGTCGACAAAAACGTTACTGCTTTCGGCTTCGGTCAAAACACTCAAATTAACTAGATTACATGCAGAAATAGTGAGCTCATGGCTGGGTCTCAGTATCCCCAGACCACGAGGTCACTCCTAAGAACAGGGCTACTACTATTTATTACATCACTATTGTTTTTGTTCAGTAGATAAAAATCATCATCTCCATCGAAGATGGATCAACCCTTTCCCCCAACTCCTAGTGTAACATTCGCCCGGAAGATACATATCGACGGATAACAAAACTAAGTCTTAAGACGACTGGCTAGCGTCTAAACAGAGCTTTGCATGTTTTTCACCGTCTCTACCAAGCCAGTACTTTTCGGTGGTCTTTCTTACATCAGGTCGACAAAAACGTTACTGTTCTCCGGCTTCGACCAGAACGCTCAAATTAACTGAATTACATGCAAAATTAGTGAGCTCATGGCTGGGTCTCAGTATCCCCAGACCACGAGGTCACTCCTAAAAACAGGGCTACTACTTATTATATTACTATTGTTTTTGTTCAGTAGATAAAAATCATCATCTCCATCGAAGATGGATCAACCCTTTCCCCCATTTCCTAGCTTCTCATCCTTATCAAAACGAATCCAGTTGTTAATTAAATTCAATTCAGGACATGACAAGAAGCTAAAAGTTTATATAAAAGGCTAAAAGTTCCAGTCCCGAAACCCTTCCGGATTCTCGAATCCAGTGAATCAAGCTCCTCAAGTTCAATTTCACACCAATCCGGAAGGCTGGTTCTCACCCTTCACCGTTGTTGGCAACGGCCTTGCAACTATTGTAGCAGCACAATAGTTGCAACTTGGAACGTTCTCTGCTATTCTGTAGTTCGTTGTCGTTCTCCAATCTTGATTTTCGTACTGTTCGCAATCGATTGTTCGTCCCGATTGAAATTTTTTCTCCTAGATTTAAAAGGTGTTGGCTTGCAGGACAGTCCTGCCAACCAACAAGCTAAAATTATCCTACCATGCTCCTTCCCTTCGGAAATCTTGCTTGTTTATTGTCCTGAATATTAAAACCAAGAGACCTTGTGGTTAGAAAGAACAATGCAACAACCTCCCTCCTCAAGAAGTTACTCAAGTTTTTCATGTCACCACAAAGTGATCAGTCTTCCTAAGTGATTAAAAACAATCATGCAGGCTGGAATATTTAAATATACTCTTCCCTCAAGCCTTTCTAAATAAATAATAAGTGAGTGTCTCTAAAGCCACTTCAACTAAAACCAAAATGCAAATTTATAAATGCAACAATTTCAAAACTCAACTAAATGTTTCAGTTTTCAATTACAACTTGGTTGCTTGGTTTCTCACTTGAGTTTTTCACACACATAAAACAATTCTGAGTTTTAACTTTTCTTCATCATCCCTTTGTTCTCTTCTTTTTCCATCGTTTAGAAGTTCTAAAACTTCTAAATTCTTCTAATTTTCTTTCTTGCCGCCTCTTGTTTTCTCGACCATTCGTCAATGCTCCATTTCCTCCTCCTGTGACGCTGACTCCGCACTCTCGGTTTCCGTGTCTTGTAGCACGTCATTGACTATCCTGACGCTGTTGGAAGCCGTCCTCCAACACTTCTGCTCTTCCACCCTCTGTTTACAGCAAGGTAGGGGATCCACGTTTGATTCTCTGTTTCTACAGAAGCTGTTGTGGAGACACAACGTCACGTTTCTCTCCAAATCTTCTTTCAGCATCTCTGCCTTCTCATTTCCACTACGCTCGCTCGTCCTGGAAATTCTTTTCACAGCGGTGGTCACTGCATTCCGATGGGTCACGAAAGCTCGCTTGAAAGCTCCTGCCCCAATGTCCAGCTGATATTCACTGTACACTCTGCCATGTTTCGACATATGCTTTTTCGCATACTCGTACAACCATGCAGTCATGTTAGCTCTGAACCATGGCATCAATCGTTTTCTTGCCCATATCTTCTTCAATTCCATCGGAATGTTTAGAACTTTGCACATTGTCTCAAAAAGATCTAAATCTTTTAGACAATCTAATTTCTGCAATTGTTCTCTCGTCGGTGCCTCCTGTCTATTATTTTCTCTCACATGAGCTTCCAGCCATCGTATCGCCATCATAACTCCCACTATCACTATTGTTATGGGCTGTGATGAATCTGGTAAACCCATGGAGAGCAGCTCTCCAGAGTCCCAGATCAACACCAAATTACTACGCTTGGGATACCACCAGGTCTGCAGCAAGCAGTGGCAAGGAAACTCGTCATGTGTCAACATGATGCTCCTCCAATTGCGTTTTCCTGAAGCTTCCAGCAATGGTTCCACTTCCATCATCACTCGGTGGATTTCATCATTCTCATCTACTGCATTGTAATCTGTGACAGTTGATCCTCTCTGTTTCTGTTTTTCAAAGTCACTGAAGTTCCCGCTCACATATCCCATGAACTTCTTTCCTAGTATTGACTCCAACTCCTCTTTGGTTCTCTCTGGAACTGCTGAGAACATCTTACATAGTAACTCGTAAGACTTTTCAGACATTCTCGCCAATCTCACGCACTTTGGCACTGAGAAAGCTTGATCCACAATCGTTCTTGTACTCTTCACGTCCACAGCCACGAAATGTACAGGGTATCTGCTCTTGCACATTGGGGCCAACGTTGAACCCACCAAATATCGTGCTCCTGATGGTCTACAATAAGTTTCGCTGTGTCTGATGTTCATCTCTGTTTCGATTGCTTCCCTCCATTTTCCTATATACTTCTGCTCAGTCTGCAGAACTCCTGGGAATACTTCTACGCTGATGGCTGTGACCATCTCATGTTTCTGTTCTAGATTCAATAGTGACTCTAAAGAACCAAACATGCTGTAGAATCCTAGTGCTGTCACTAGATTCACATCGGTTCCTCCATGGCAATCTGCTATCAGTTCCGTTTCCGTTCTTGCTTTCATCACTACATTTCCAAACAATACTGTCAACTGCTTGTGTTGTTTCTCCAGGGTTTTCACACAGTCTAGACTTCCACAAACGTGACCCTCTAGTCCACAGACTTCCGCCAGACAGCTACCAGGTTTGACCCAGTCTTCTGGTCCCCAGTCAGGCAACTCCACTCCATCTTCTCCGTTGCTCTTAGAGGCTGTTATCATCACATTATATATGATGTTGAGGTCACACAGGTTACAGTCCGCATTCAGTTCCCTCTGTATGTCTTGTGTCGCCCGTAATATTGAGTCAGCGTTGGGACTAGGACACCACGATGGCTTCATCAATTCCCACACTGCCATCAAGCTCGTTCTCAGTAATTTATCTGAGAATCCCAACCCAAATTCCACTCTCTTGTCGGATTTTGGTACTGAAGGTGCAGTCACCTCTTCTTCCAAGACCAATCCCAATTTGGCCTGTGGATTGTTAACGCTCTTAGTCGTTACAATTCTGGACGTCCAGAACCTTAGTAACACCGCCTGCTCATAATCAAAGAAGCAATCACGTATGTCTTCACTCAGGAAAGGATTGTACGCTATCCCTATGATCCCGGATACATAGCTATATGACTTCTTCTTGATCGGTCCACAGTATTCACTGGATTTCGGCAATGCTCCCATAGATTCTTTAGTGAGCCTCAACTCCTTGTTTGAGAATCTCCTGATCTCGTCTATCTTTTTCATGGGTTCCAATTCTTCAGGTTCTTTCATGTTCACCCTCATCGGTTTACTCTGCTGCATATCCAGCATTGCTAGTAAGAACATGGCTTTCGTTCGCTCATCGCCTTCCTTCAACATTTTAACACAAGTGCTTAATGCAGGTACTGAGATCTGCTCTATCAGGAATCGAATGAAACAGAGAGCGTCTCTCCGCTTTGCACACGCTACTGCTGCTCCCTCCTGGACTATCAGATCCCTCAGATTCGTCATAAGGAAAACTTTTTCCTCCTTTGATCTCTTCCTTTCTTCTGAATCATATTCTTCGCGAGTCAGTCCCATCATGCACCAGGCGAGCCTGAGTTGTAATTCTGTCCTTACGTAAGGTACTGCCACGAGAGCATGTATTCTTGGCGTAGTCCTCATTTCTTCTTCGAAATACCTCAATACTACTGCTTTCCATGGAAGGCTCACTAACTGCTCGATCGTCTCCGCCTCTACGTCAGACGACGCCAAAGTTCCATACGCCTTCTGCTTGAGGGTGGTGCCTTGCAACATCATTTCCAGATAACCCTCCATGGCTTTTTCGTCTTCCAGGGCCACTACATACCCTCTAGCCGAGTTCCGGTATTCCAACATCTCCATGTATCCACCGGTGGGTTCATCTATCGACACTGTCTCCGACACTGTTAGTCGGTTGTATTCCACTGGTGTCAGTTGTCCTGCAACACTCCCTTTTCCATGATTCATGGGAAATGGTTTGAAGTCCCTCATTTTACTCTCTCCACATTGACTGAGTATTTCCATTTCTAAAGTTGCTCCAGTCAGAGTGCGGTCACTCCTTTTGGATTTATAACCGGTTGACTTTATCCCCGCCATGAGAATGGGTGGCACCATCGCTATATCAGTTAATATTCTATCTGTGCCAGACAATTGATAATCACCTTGCCCCAAATCCATGACTTCCTCGACTCGTTTTCTTTTCGCTGAGTTACCAGCTTTCATCGATATTTCCGAATCCACTTTTGTCTTTCCAATCCTCCTCGGCATCACTCTGCTGCCTAACTTCATTTTCATCGCATTGATTTTATCAATCACCATTTTCGATCGCATCGTTCCTCTCCTGGTCCTTGACAGGTACACCACCTCTCCTTCATTGTCCTGCGGTGTCATCTTGATGGGAGAATTCGCTTCACTCTCATCAG